TGGGACCGTTTCCTCAGTACACACCTGGTGTATATCACTTTAAAAAATAAATTATGCCTCATTAAATTACAATTAAATGGAATCATGATCATTTGTTTTTCTGGAAGGAAGATGTTTTGCATATTGAAAGCCTAATTTGTTGCAGGTGACAAAAAGGCTGAACAGATTATCTAATATCACTTCATTTTGGGGGTAATGTTTGCTGGTTAGTTTGTGTATACTCCAGTAGTTCAGAATTATATTAATATGGACTGTATTATTTTCACTTCAGAATGTCTCCTAGCACTTTATCAGTTATTGTACTCTTTTTTTTTTTTTTTTTTTTAATTTTCAAGCTTTTAAGGCAACAGAAACTTCTGTTCCTATCTGGATTAGGCAAGCTCTTTCTTTTTCTTCAAATGTCATAGTACTGTCCAGTCCCCCGCTCCGCCTCCCCCTCTGCCTGATCTCCCCATTATCTCTACACCCATGTGCTATGTATATTTCAAACCCCAGCCAAGTTAAGTCCTTCCTCTTACAAAATGTTTTCCCTGAGTCCTGCACTTGGCAAGACTTTCTCCCTCTTTTGAACAGAAATGGCACTAGTTCTGTCTCGAATTTATGACATTTGTCATCTTTTACATTGTGCTTCTATAAACTATCATAGGGTAAACTCCTTGGCAGCAGAATCTGTGTCTTATTAATCTTTTCGTTCCTTTCTGAGCTTAGCACCAAGTCTTAAATAAGGTATGAATTAATAGACTGATCTGTCGTTCTTTGGTGATAGGTATATTGAATTAGGGGGTTCCCTACATAATCAATGGAAGACAGAGCCTAATCCTAGAGAATTACCTGAGGTCTGAGAGCAATGAAGAATGGATGTCTGCTAAAATCTAGTCAGTAATGACCTTGACTGTTGCTGTCAGCCCTGGAGGAGCCTGGGGAGCTCTGAGGGGCTCAGGCTCAGTGTTCCTAGAACTTGGCCCTGAGTTGGGTTCTCGTATTGTTCTCTGCAAGAATTAAGGGCCCATCAAAGGCAGTTTCTCACCCATCCCAGATGAGGCCTCAAGGGCTAGTGCAGAAACTTGGAAGTAAATTTTATAGAGCCAGTCATGGTAATGTGTCCCAAACATTTCTGAGTATCAGCATGTATTTTGCACACTAATTTGGGGTAAACTATGTAAATTTTTGAAGAAATATGGAAATCATAATAATGTAAATAAGACAGATCATCGACAGAAATTGCAGATTCAGAAAGTGTAAGGTCACTTAATTTGTTACAAATATTATTTAAAATACTAGAAATAATATGTACATCAATTTTCATTTTAAAAATTAGCCCGAATTCTTTATTTTGTCTGTGGAGATAGCCTGTATTAGCAACCAAGCTAGATGGCATTATATTATATCTTGTTTTGCACTTTGAATTACTTTGCTTTTATTGCGTTTTCTACTAACCTCATATATTCTTTGCTGGTGCTGGAAATACCATGAAGCTTACACAATCCCCCATTGAAAGGCTAGGGAGAAGATCAACTTGAGGTTCTTTTTGCCTGACTCCCTTCTTTTTTCTGTGACTTGTAACCCAAGAGCTCTTGTGCAAGGTGTCTTCCTACTCTGTGCAGATGTTCGTTCTACTCCTTTTCAGTCAACATGTTTCCTGGTCTTACATAACCTCAGCTAATGCCGTGAAGGGAATTGTTATAATCTCTCCCTTGAGAAGGCTCTGTTGCCTACGATGAGGAAAATACTTAATGACCACTTTACTCAATACTTGCAATATGTTTTAATATGATTACTGATATGAAAGTTTAATAAGCAATATCCTGGTTAATTTATTAATTTCCCTCAATTTTCACATTCTGAATATTCATGACCTTTCTATTCATAAAAGTACATCTTTTTTCAGTGCCCAAGTGTCATGCCACATGCTCTATATCTCAGGCTGCATAATGGGAATGTCCGAGTGACACCTCCTGCCTGGCTGGTTGATAATTAAAATGCCAGACAACATAGCAGCAAGGGCTTTAGAAATATTTATGTGAGATAAATTATTAATTTATGTTCTATGCAAGGCAGTTTCAATATGATCAACATTTACTTATCTTGATAATTAGATGGGGTGAGTTGTGGTGTATGTAAGTTATGCTGTCGATTTCCTTGATTTTTTTTCCCCATGATGATTTTCAACTAACTAAATAAACTCACTTTACATTTATGAGCCTGCAGAATTTGGACTATATTTTTTTAAATCCCAGTTTAAATAGTTAAAAGTGCATAAATAACCAAAATGAAGAAGGCTCAACAAAACAACTAAAACTCTTTTTGTGCCCACAAGCTAGCCACTTGTTATTGAAAATGTCTGAGGTGAAAAGAATCTGCTTCGGGACCACAGCTACACAGATGAGGCTTTAAGTAAATAGTTTAGAACAGTGTTTCCCTTCTCTGGGGCGGCACACGGAGGCGGCACTGGCCACCTTGCTGGTTTGCGACTTTATCTTCAATTAGGCAAACGAAACAGAGGCAACAGTATATTCCACCAGCCCCTTAAAATACAAATATTGTGTCTCATTTACTTCAGAAATGGTGCTGATGAGCAGTCATCTTCAAGGATGCTTTGTCTTCATTTTTCTTAGAGATGGATTCATTTCCCTGTGAGGTCGTCCAACATGTAAAAAATGCAGGGGAAGGAGCTCCATAATTTCAATGTGGAAAAAAAAGTAAAACAAGCCAAACAAGAAACAAATAAAAACACTATGCTTTGGAGTGATTTATTTTTTTTATTGATTAGGAATGAACAAACTTACACTTTTGAACCGTGGATCCTTTAGAACAATCGATTTTGTTATTTCACTCTTTTGTGTGCAAGATCTTTGCTATAATGTACTCCATGACTTGTGAAAATCATTTCACTGTCGTAAGGAGTATATCCATGTAGATCCTAAAACTCCTCCAAATGTGGTCGTCTGAGATTTGTTAAAATGCTAGAATTACGAGAGAGAGAGAGTGAGAGAAAGAGAGAGAGAAAAGGAAGAGGAGGAAGAGGAGGGACCGACACATTCTTTCTGTGCAGAGTTCATCGTTGAAGAAAACTCAGTGAGGAGCAGTCTTTAGTGTCTTATTTGTATTGGAAATTGGTATTGATTTTAAGCCCACTTCTCTCTTGCTTCTCCGTGTGTTAGTTTGTAGATTTTTGTCTTAGAAACAAATCCATTATTAATATTTCAGGTTGCTTAGTGCACGTGGAAAGTAGGATAACTGAAGGCAGAACTGACTTTTAGTTTCAGAAAGAGAATCGGTACCTAGATTGTATAACATTTTCTGGAAGATAAGTTTCTCACTTGTTGCTTTTAAAAGCATGACAAGAAATCTAGATTTTCTTAGAATCATTTTACCAGGAGGGTATTTTTACATACACGTCATACCTTATCCTGTCCTTGGGCACGCATGCACAAAGACACACACTTGTTAACATTTCTTTTAGCTTCATTGTATAGCATATTTTATTCTCAGTCATAAAGACTTCTCTAATCAATGTAACATGACACTCAAGTTGGGGAACTGCCAGTTGGCATACTGCTTGTAGGTTCCTTATAGTAAAATTGTCTTACGTGGTGTTTTGAGTGGTGATTACCTCCTTGCACTGCTGATAACTGTGTGATGCACACTCCTATAAGTGACAATCACTTCACTGTATTATAATGCATTACTTTATTTTTTAAAATTGCCTACCTTACCCTGAAGATTTCTGGCCAACCAGAGATGGTATCTTCCTCTTGCATCTGACATAGCTAGTGTTTTTATATTTAAGCCATGTATTACAAATCTGATAGCGTTTCCTTTGCATTAATAGTCCCCTCAGTGGAACATCTTTGGCATCTATTTTTCATGATTTGGGGTTGCCCTACCTGTTCTAAGATACAGGGGTTAATATCCCAGCTCTTCCTGGGGGATAATCCTAGTCCTGATCTCATAGTGCCCTGAGAAGGGATGTTAGCTGGGAATGGGAAGTGATGCCTCCGTGTGATAACCTAACAAGAGTGTAGAGTGGAAATAGATCTGCTTTTGCCCAAACTACCACAGTGTTCCAACTGAGATCTCCGGCCCTTTTCTTGAGTCCTTAATACTTTTCTTTAGACCTGGGAACATTTTCCTTTTCTTTGTGAATTCTCTGTCATCAGAGCATATGAAAATACTAATTTTCCATTTAAAGCTCTCCGTTTGGATGGGTCACACATTCAGAAAGGATTTGAGCCTGTCCTGGCATTCTATACATTCTATAGTTACGGCATGCTCTCGCCCCTCACCGAGTGTGCCTACCTTCCCATTGCTTTAATGGGGGGATTGGAGCTTCCCCTATGAAAGCATCTTATATAAAAAATTTGGGTGCCCTCTGGTACATGTACAAGGATACCTATTACGTGTGTGGACTGAAAAGTTATTAGAGGGTTAACACAAGCTATAGCCATTTGCTTTGTGTGTTTTTTTTTTAATGCCATAAAAAACATCTATATTGAAAACAGTGGCCGGTCAACAGAAATTCAGCCAAACTTTTTTTCTTTTTTAAATAGATGTAAATCTCCCATGCTGTTTAAATGTCGGAACTAAATTTACCAAACTTGGCAGATTTGTAAAGCTGAGCAGGACTGCCAAGTGTTCCCCGTTTCCAGCAGAGAGAGTTCTAACAGTTCCTGAAATACTTGTAGGAGGCACCTGGCGGTAACTTGCAGTTTCACAATTCTTCCCAGGCGCCTACCTTGCTAGCTGGCATCTCTGCACACCGATGATTATTACAGTGATGATAAAGTGTCAGAATAGCACGGTCCAAAATAAGGCACAGCCTCCGGAAGGCAAGCAGATTCCCACAAAGTCTTCCTGCTGGAGAACCCTCAGGAATTAGACTGAGGTTCTTGACATCACAGCCAGCTGGTTACACCAAACAAAATGGGAGGGGCGGAGGAGGAAGCCACACACACACCTGCAGATATAACTTGGCCTGTTTTTTTTTTCCATTTAATCAGGGATTGTTGTCTGAGATTCTGCGTAAGGAAGAAGACCCTCGGACAGCCTCTCAGTCTCTTTTAGTAAACCTGAGGGCTATGCAGAATTTCCTCAATCTGCCGGAAGTGGAGCGGGATCGCATATACCAGGACGAGAGAGAGCGGAGCATGAACCCCAATGTGAGCATGGTCTCGTCGGCCTCGAGTAGCCCCAGCTCCTCCCGAACCCCTCAGGTGAGATATTCTCTCCGCTGACAGTTCTCTCTGTGCCTTGGAAGCATCTTGCCTTCACTGATACTGTGTTTTCCCTCAAAAACTCAGAGACATAATTCAAGAATTTCTTAGTTCACTGAACATGTTGGTTGGAAGATATGAACCTCTGAACATACAATGGTGGTTAGCCTTGACTATGTCAAAGGGCCATTTCTGTCCCTTTAGGAAAGTACAATTCTTCCACGCATGGCAGGAGGGTAGGAGTCGGGGAGGGGCAGGCTCTAGGATGTCTACATACAATTGCTTAGTTGTCGAAGAAGGGGTTAGGGAATTTGTCTTGAAGCTGAGTTTGCATAGCAAGCACACTGCTTTTCCTTAAATTGTATGTTTATTTGGATGGGGGTAGGCTAGTTGGGGGTAGGGGACAGATAGAGTAGTCTAAGCTCTGCTTTATGCAATCTGGAAAAGACAAAATGGGGAGAAACCTGTGTGTGATGGAAGCATGAGTATGCGTTGGCTAGATCAGAATGCCTGGGAGATCACTCAGTGATCCCTTCGAAAGTGGTCGAGGAGACGTAGGCCTTAATTATTTCCCTTCCTAGGGTGCTCTCCCCACAGGACTCTATGACTCAGCTGTCCATCCCTCATTTCTCCACACTTTCAAGGCATTTTGTTCTCAGGTCCTCCTGAAAATGCACAAATCTAGTAATGCTGTGTGCTTCAAAGATCCTAACTGAAGGGTCAAGGTCTCAAGTCAACCAAGGGTCATTTCCAGTTCAGATCTGAGTGCACTCATTTCTAGCCTACTCTCTGTTTCCCCTAAACTATTACTACTCAGCAGATTTGTGCTCAAGCCATCTCATTCACTATTGCTGGGATGGTTGCAAGTTCCCTCTCAAAACAAATATTTAACAGGTACACATTTCTACAATTCAGGAAAATCAAATAAATAAATTCAAAAAAAAGAAAAAAGAAAAATGGGTACTTTGAAACCAAAGATTTTTTTACTTAGATAATAATAGTTTTGGTTTTATGAGTTTGTTTTCTAGTAAGTTCCAAAGAATTGATTGAGCATAGAAGCAGAATTTTATTCTGGTAGAAATATTTGAGCTTTTTCAAGTATATCCATTTTTTTCATACCTCTTAACTCTTTTTATATTTTTGCACTCTGCAATAGATTTTTAATTGAAGATCATTTTCTATCATGCACTGCCAAATTGTGATACTTACACTTTAGTCTTCAGTGAATTATAAGTTTTAGTTACTGTTAAACCAGAAATAAGTCTCTTGACTGTTTATTTTGGACGAGTGTAACCAAGCTTTTTTATGTGATTTTTTTTTTTTTTTTTTAATGTTGGGGCATATATTTTGAGCTATTGAGTTGGGCATGTTGTTAATTTGCGCTAATATTGACTTCTGTTAAATTCACTGATATTTTTGCCGCTTTTGAAGCCCATTAAGCCGTTATAGGAGAGTCCAGTCTTGCTTCATGGCCATTTAACGCGGCAGCCCTTCTCAGAAAGTCATTTCCACTTGTTGGAAAATAACATAGGTCTGAGTGTTTTGTTTTCCACTCCTTTGGGATGTTTTTCTAACAAGATTATATCTTAGGCATCTTTTCAAAGACCTGATAGCTTTCAGAGCCAGACCAATTTGCAAGGCCACACAGTTAGGGTCAGTATTTTGCTTTTTTGAACAGCAGAAAATCCCATCTAGACAATTCCTAGATAAAAGCGCCCTGTAGGACAAGAATAACAGGGAAATTGATCATTTAATTTCACAGTTTTAAGATTTCTGAAAATAAATATAAGATGTTTTCCTCAAAACAGTTTTGAGAATACAGTCATGTCACTGGCATGTGCACATTCTCTGGAACTTTCTTTTTTTTCTGTTGGTTAAACATTGAGAAAGGGGAAGTTATTCAGGATTTTAAAACATTTCATGATTGCTTCCTTACTCAAACTTCTTTACAGTCATATCTCAATAGTATCGATCCATAGCACAGTGAGGCTTTCATTGTGAGAAGGGATGTTGGAAGGGGGCCACTGATTCAGCCTTTTAGTTGGAGTCAGCAAGCTGGGGCACATGGGCAGCCCTACCTAGGTGCATGGAGATGATTTTCCAGACCCCATCCCTACTTTATTATTGGTTTAAAACATACTGAAGAAATTTCAGATTTAAAATTAAATCTCCAGAGTCCCTGCTCATAATCCTTCAATTGGCCAGTATTCCTTGATGTACTTAATAATAACAAAACAACAATATAAGAATGATCATTTATGGAGCCCTTGCTGTGTATCAGGTATTGTGAGCATTTTGCATGATCTTGATCCTCACAATTTTGTGTTATCACCGTTTTGCAGATGAGGAAGCAGGTTTTGCAGATGAGGAAGCAGGTTTCGCTGGGTTAGATAACTTGTGTAAGGTCACCTGGCTGAGTGGTAGAGTTAGGGTTTGAACTCCAGTTATTCTGATTCCGTGGCCTGGGCTCCTCACCATACATTTTGGTTTCCTGAGAGGTTTTGTTTTAGCCCCCATGGTTCTAGAGAGGGTTTGACCAGTCAGGTAAGATGAGGTAGTCAGTGAGGCTAATGAGGAAAGCTGGGTTGAGTAAAGGTAGAAATGATATGCTAAAACATGCACTCCACAGGAAAAGCGCTGTGGGTTAACTCGACATTTTGAGAAAAAAAAGGAGTTTCTTGAAAAACTGACAGAGAATTGGATTATTATGAGCAGAGGACAAGAAAATACCTGTAAAAACAGCACCTGGTATAAAGGGCGATTTTGGAGGCAGAGCAGCACAGTGGTCCGGAGCCCAGGCTTTGGAGTCAGAAAGACTAGAGTTCAGATCGGGGTTCTTTCACTTGCTGCCATGTGTCCTTCCAGCAAGTTAACCATCTTCTTTTATTTTCAGTTGTCTTCATCTCTAAAATGAAAATAATAATGTCTAACTCATTGGGTTCTTAAAAGAATTAAATGAGATAATAAAAGTAAAATGCTTTCTGCAGTGCCTGGCACATAAAAAGTACCGTATATATTATACTTACAGTTACTTTGCAGTCATTAGGAAATAGCATGAGACGGGAAGGTCAAAGGAAAATGGCAAAAGCCACTGAGTGCTCTTAGGAATCAAAGCCTTCATGGGAACTTAGGACATGAACTCCCGCTTTAAGACACCAGTGAGAAGGATCCCACGATGTTCAGACTTCATGCCCGTGCCTTCCTCCAAACCTGCGCACTGCTAGATCCAGGGGGCATCCTCAGAGGGAAAGTAATGACTTGGGAATGACTGTCTTGGTCTGGGATTCTGGGGCAAGTGGAACAGAAAGAAAGAAATCCGGTTTGGACCAGTCAGCCGGCCATGCTTGGGAGCCCAAGAACCAGACCTACTTTTCCCAGAGTCCTGCTGCCGGGGGTTTGGAGAAGGCTGCCCAGCCCCCCTCATTATACCAGAGCAAATGCTTGGACAGTCTTTCAGAACAAGTAGATGCAAACGTTTTAGGGTTATCCTAACCCCAAGAAGTACAGACACCTTCTATTTTGTCCTTCATTTGTCTCTGAAGCTGATGGGAAATCATTCAATTAAAACGAGCACGACAGAATACATAAAACCACAATATGAGTTTAAGAAAATGAAAACGGCCCATCAAAGGCATTCTGAAGCCTAGTTTTATGAAATGAAATTTTGTTTCATTTCCACTGATTTCCTAGGTGAAATTAGGTGACTGTCTGGGTAGCATAATGATGATAATGATGGGAAACCATACATACTCGAATGACATCCGCAAAGCTTTAATAAAGAATGAGAGAGACTCAGGGGAGTGCATTAAATTGAGTAATAATTTATTATTTAGAGACCTCTACCCATTTACTCATTTTTTCTGGAAGAATTGGCTCTTCCTCCAAGGTGTGCCATTTTTAGAAAGAAAAAGGTGTGTGTGTGTGTGTGTGTGTGTGTGTGTTCTGCCTGCTTGTTTTGCAGTGAGCTGATCGCTTAGGGTTTGGTGTCCGAAGTAGCCATCCTACCTGTGAACTGTCGGGTACCAGGAGGGAAAGAACGGGGTTGACAGGACTCTGCATGTCCTGTAGGAATGCACTGCAATTATTTCCAATCACAATTAACCTGATTAGAATAATGGACAGGAAGTGTCCCTCTGTAGCTAATGCAGTTTGGCATCAGCTGACTGAAATCCTTTGATAATTTCTGCACAGATGGCTGGGCTGAAAGCAGCACTTTTTAAATTATTATTTTCATGGTCTCTTGGTAGGCCAAAACCTCGACACCGACAGCAGACCTCCCCATTAAGGTAGACGGCGCCAACGTCAACATCACAGCTGCCATTTATGACGAGATCCAACAGGAGATGAAAAGGGCCAAGGTGTCTCAAGCCCTGTTTGCCAAAGTGGCTGCAAATAAAAGTCAGGTGAGTGGATTTTAAAAGAGCAAAAGGGAGGGCTGGGAGTAGACTGTTCTCCTCCTCCCACCAATAAAAATACATCTGTTCCTATAATAATAATAACAATAATCATCCCTAGGGAACCTGTCATGTTCTGACTTTTGCTCTATGGTTCGCTTGTATTCCCGTCAGAGTTCAAAATAGGGCTGAAGTCAAAACCCAGATTTTTTTTTCTTTTAAAGAATTTTTTTCAACCAGAATCAGCCTTGAATGATTTCTCTCCTAATTCTAAGCACTACTGTGTATCATTTTTTTTAGAGCAAAATGTAGTACAGACACAACAGCGTCTTCCAGACCAGGCCTCGTTGCTCTCTTACTCCCACCAGGGGAGTGGCTGACACTGTCATAATAACCGCTCTCCCCAGCCCCCAAGACACTTTGCGATGTCAAGGGTTTCTTTTATGTGTAGAATACAGTCGTTTTTCCAGGAGACAACGCATGTGGGAGAGTCCAGAACGAGTGCTAAAATCTTTAACAGAAACACACAGAAGCTTATCCAGTATAGCTTTTCAGAGTGCTGGGATTGTGAGGAATGGAAGGCTCCAGGGAAAAGGGTAGACAGATGCTTAGAGTTTTTATTTCTGAAAGCAGCAACAGTTGATGGGATCTACTATCTGTTTCAGTTTGTTTAAAGGGACACCTACCGCCCTGTCCTAGAATGGGTGAGGTTGAGGTGCCTGCCTGCCCATCTATCCCTAGGATGAATAATTACCTGGTACAGGGTGGAAGAAACAAAAGTTAGTTGAAGCATAATTTTAAGAGTCCTTTGATTCTGGCCTTGATTTCCTCCATGGCCTTGCATGACAAATGTTTTCATCCCTACATATGTAAGTGGTAAAATGGTCTGTCATCTCCCTAGCAGATCTTCTGTGTGTGCGGGAAGAAAGGAAATCACTGAATATTGTATTTCTGTTAAGCAAGAAGGTTTTCAATGAAAATTGTTTTTAAAATAATAGTTAAATGCCATATTTAGACAAATTATATGGTTTTAGGAATAGCCTCTTTCACCTGTAGTTTCGCAGTAACCTGACTGAAGTTATTTTTCAGAGGTTGATAAAGGGAGAGGAGTAGAATATCAAGAAATTTTGAAGAGGATTGAAATATTTGTTTCCCTTTTCAATTTCAGTATAGTAATTTTTCCAAAGTATTCTTACTGTCTTTCATCAATGACATCATTGAAATACAGTTTGCTGAGATATGATGTCCAACCACAATATGAAATACATGAAAAGAAAATACCATAGAGCCTTCTTAAACTGTTAAATGCATAAAATCCCATGTACCACATGGCAAAATATAATGAGAGTTGGAGCTGTTAAATGAATAAAGCTGTTAAATGCATAATGCCACTTGGCAAAACTACTGTGCATTTAATGGTTTTCCACTGTGTAATAAAGGACATATGTGGTAAATGTGCAGTGAGTGTACAAGCTGAACAATTGATTTTGCAACCCTGCCCCTTAGTCGTGACTCCACGTAAATATCCAAGTTTCACTCAGTCTTTCTTTTATAAGCCACTTTTCAAGAAAAACTGAAGACCACAGTCTGAGAACTTGATTCAAAATGCCTGTCATCTTCCTGTCGACTTGGCACTCTGGCTTCTGGGAATAGTGATGCCTCCAGCCGCCCAGAATAATTCAGGTGGCTGATTGAAAGCTGTGTTTGCCAGTTGGCACAAACTTAGCTCTCCAAATTTTTGATGCCTCCTGAAGAAATCAGTAGCCCTGATCTTGTAGAATCTGGAGGAAAACGTAGTTCTAGGAAATAGTATGTTAAAGGTGGAGACAAGTTTTCTTTTTTCCTTTGGGACAATGGTCTCATTTTCAGTTATGAATAGGGAACCTTGCTGTAGATAGCTGACCAGATTTGCAAATCCATGGTAAGTTTATTTTAAAAATAGTACTGCCAAACAAAATGAATGTAACTGATAGTTTCAAAGGCAATTTAACATAAGATATTTACTGCATTCTGTACGTATCAGCATTCACTTGATAAAAAGCATATTTAGTGAAATCAGTTGCATGATTTGGTACCTTGCACATGTATTTGGTGCACATCCATAAGTTGTATATATGTATGGCTAATAGTGGGACTTTGGCCAAAGTACTTAACCTCTCAGAGCTGCAATGGAAGTGACCACACCCTCTTCATTGGATTGTGAGGACTGAGAGAGCAAAGGTTTTCTCCACCTCTCCAGCGTTCCCTTTCCTCCCTCTATTATGTCTCTTTGGAAGGATTAGAAATTCTTGGAGTGACTGAGGAGGCAGATGAATAGCAAGGGCTCTCTGTTCTCTTGGAGGTGAAATTAAAGAAACTTTACTAGGAACTCTTCTGACCTAGTAAAGTGGGTTTGGAGCCTTGAAGCCCCAACTCAAATATCCATAGCCACCCCTCCCCTTCCATTTTAAATTTCCTTTAAAATAGAAATGAACCCTCCACTGAATCTCCTTCACTCCTTGGTGTGAACTGCTGTCACTACCTATTTAGAATAATACCTAACACTGCCTATGTGTTAGGCAAGCTTTGAATGAGGAGTAGGAAAAAGGGAGGAGAATTTTAGAGACTAAGGTTGGTGGGCTAAGATGGTCTTTGAGGGCTGTAGGTGTTCAGAGAACAGGCACAATGGAAGGAGGGGTTCAGAAAAGTAGTTGAAAGGGTGACAAAAGTTTACAGTTTTGCCTATGGTCCTCTTGGGGAAAATATTTTATTGGAAAGTGTGTGTGTGTTTCCTTAGTGAGTGCGTTATGTCAGGATTCATTTGTAGGGTTGTAGACCACCTCTTCCTCCAGCTCAGCTCCAGCAACTTTGTCACGGCCAGGCTAGTCCAGCATCTAGTTCCACTGGGTGTCTCTTATCTTCATGGTAGAGGAGTCAAAGAAGGAAAAGCAGAAGAAAAAAATTAAGGGGAAGAGTATGCTTATGCACTATGGTCAGTGGCTGTTCTGTTTGAAATAGGAGTGAGGGGTCCTTGGTGGAGCCATGATGTAAAGGCGTATGGGACTTTTTCTGCGTGGCTTTGATATGACCCTTACATACAAAGGGCCACCAGGGCACGAGCGCCCCAGCTTGCAGTCTGAACAACCGTAGGAACTCCTTGTCCCTCTATAGCTTCTTGTAATCTCTCTGTCCCTCATACATTCTGTAGGGTTGCTTTCCCCCTTCCTCTCTGATTGCAGCTTGTTACACGTGATCTGGCCAGTGGAAATCCAGAGGGGAAGAAACACAGTAACCTGTGGGCACTCCCACTGCAGTCCTCCAGGGCTGGCCGTGTGCTTTGTGACAGCATCTTCAGCCACATTTCTTTCCCTTGACATCAATTGCCTCTTTCCCCAGACACTAATTCACTTTTTCTCTCATCTCCTGCCCTCTTCTCTTTTTTATAGCTTTCAGTAGTTCCGCTCATGGCATGTTGAGGATGAGCTGAGGTTGGTGTTTTTTCGAAAGGAGACTGAATCTTGCTTTATTATTTGTATACCCAAGACCCAACTCTACATATGTGACTGTCTTTCCTACTAAGTTTGGGTGAAAATAGTGTAGGTAGAGGTATGGGAAGGGACTTAGTATTTTAATCCCTGTTTTCCCTTGCTCCCACTGAAAAAATAAAAACAAACAAATGAACAAAAACTTTAGAAGGGCACTTGGTTTGCTGTCTTTTTTCTTTTGGGACGGGGGTGGGGAGTGCTTGCTTTCTGTATTAGGAATGTAGAGAGAAGCTGAGACACTGCAAAAAGGAGCAATAGACAACCTGATTATAAACCTCAGGTAGTAGTAAAGAAAGGGCCAACCCCAGAGGCTGCTGGAGTAAAAGAAATGGAGTGATCTGGGAATAAACAGGAACCCAGAGGGGTGACTGATGAGATGACATAAGGATGCCCTCATCGTCACAAAGATGTAAAGACCCCTGCCAATCCTGGACTTCCTTTTCCTGCCACACATGCCTTCCCAGGCCCGCAAGATGCAGGAGCTACCACTAGGTTCAGCGATGGGAGAGCCCTTACTGCTACTACAGAAGCGAGAGAGGGAGGCACAGTTGCGGAACCTGGGGAAGCTGAGTTTCTGGCCTCCAATACACAATTCTGAAATCATTTCCCCCATAGGAGCTGTGTTCTTCATGGTGATTGGGTTTCAGTACGTTCTATGCTTCATGTATATTAGGATTAAGTAAATTTTGTGTGCTGACCTTTCTTCCTTATGGCTATGTTTCTACCCCCAAATCCGTGTTCTTACCTACTGACTTAACAAATTGTATTCCTAGGTAGAAGGCTACTTATACTTTAGATATAGATTGCAAGCTCAGATTTTATGGACATTCTTCTTTATTGTAAAATATCTCCCTATAGATGGTCTAATTTGCTTAACAGGATAAATATTTAAAATATACAGGTCTCTTTGGCAGGTCCTTTTAAAATAAAGCAAAGATAAAGGAAAGACTTTACATAAAGAAAAATGATGGACATATTATTTAGGTGGTTTCCTTCCTTTCATTGCTCTTTGCTGTTGGAGTTGATGTCACATTCAGTATATATGCTAACATATTTTCTCCAGTCAGTCATGAGTTACCATATGACTCTTTGTTTTTGTGTCTCTTCTGAAAAATGTCCCAGGCACAATTTAGTTGGACATATTTCTTTTTTAAAGAAATAACCTTTATTTTATAATTACTTAACTAATAACATCTTCATTTTAGAAAAGTCAGAAGATGAAGAAAAGTGTAAAGGCGAAAACATGACTCACTCATAATTCCACAACCCAGAGACAGTTGCTGTTAACATTGTGGAGTCTCTCCTTCTAACGTGTCTGTGTGTGTATGGGTGTGCACGTGTGTGTTTTATGTCCTAATTGAGATCATATTGTACAACACACAATTATAAGACAAGTTGAAACTACAGTTCCTTTTTTTAAGGCCAACTTTTCTTTTAGGAGAGTAAATTTACAAGGTATAAAATACTATCTTCAGTCTCATTATT